ATATGCAGGAAAAAATCATCAGTCAGCATAATATTCCAGAGTTTTCAAAACAATTGTTTGTATCCAAAATGTCATTGTAGTGCTATTGCATTAATGTATTCCTCAAATAATTATTTACTCATTTTAAAAGCTGATAAAGACCAGAAGCATTTGATGATAATATTTTGAATATTTTCAAAATAGTTTTACTAAATCAAAGGATCACCGTAATTAAACGGGCTATTTTTTGCTACAATTAATAATTAGAAATTAAGTAATAATTAATAAGATGTTTATATATACAAAATAGTTTTTTTGTTAGGAAACATCACAAATCCATCAATTACATAGTTATATATAATAAACTTGATAGATTAAATGATTTTTCCAATCTAACTTGCTTTTCAGTGAAAGAACTGGTTAACTTCATTTTCAGAGATGGATGTCAATGTCACCTTCATAAAATTCTGTCAAATTCTTTAAATGTTAATGCTTTTGATTTTCATTTACACATTAACCAAAGAAAATTGTAAAAATGTCAACAATCTGTTTGTAGTAAAATTGAGCTCTAAAGTTTGCTGGTTGATACCCTACTGGCTATATACAGGATGTTCACTTTAGCATTTATCAAGGGGCAAGAAATTTTTTTCAGCATTGCATAAGTTTATGGATATGGTGCATCAGTTCAACTATGATGTTTACAGTAAAATAAATCATTCAAAAAGGGGACATGTAAAATCGCACTTTCAATCTGCAGCAATGAGACTTATTTATTATTCGTTCTTTAGCAATGAGCTCAAAGAACGAAAACTTAGTTTTTAACTTTAGCAGCCGATTTTTATGTCATCGTGTAGAGTGCATCGAGCACCTACAAGTATATGTAGTTTGATCTTTAGCACTTTTAAGCAAAACAAAAAAACCAAATGTGTATTTTTCTCCATACATTTTATTTCTTTGAAATTTTTAAAATATGAAAATTAAATTTCTAGAAAACTTGTAGAGCTGATGTTCATTATTAAAAATTGTAAATAGAAATGTTTCGAGGCTAGAACCCATATTTTAAAGTTACAAACCACTGTGCATCGTATCACCCTCTATCGTGGTTGCATCAGCTAACGTTCAGAACGCGTTGTGGTCAAATATCACGAAAGCTACGACGCGAATTTCGTTTTGTGTTCCTTTTGAGTTAGTCACAATGCGTTGTGGACCTTTTTTTCGCTGAATGAGCGTTTTTGTTCTTTGAGCCTAACACATACACAAAATATCAAAACTGGGAACATTCCCCCTTTATTTAAATAAAACAATTCGTTTCATAAATTTGTCTGGGCTGTAAAAATGCGAAGTAGCAGGAACCATTCAGTCTATCCAAATAAAAAAAAAGTTGCGCCAAGTAGAAAATTATGATAATTTGGATGACAGTGAAATTTTTTTTTTTTTTGGTAAAGATAAGCTTGACATTTCGAAGCGGTACTCACAAGATTTTTGCCTGCATTAATGTTTTTTACAATTCGCTTCGAAGCGCCAAGCTTATCTTTACCAAAAAAAAAAAAAAAATTGACTCTCATCCAAATTGTCATAATTTTTTACTTAACGCAATTTTTTACATCAATGTTTTTATTTAGATATCAATTGTTTTTGGTTAATGATTGACCCCATTATTACATCAAGACATAAGACGATAACGTACTGTACTGTGCAGTACATATAATTTAGCGACGGCCGCCGACCGAACGCTTTCAATACGCCGTTAGTAATATCGTTATAAAATGTTTTAATTTGCATAAATTTGAGTTTGTCATTCTGAACAGCATTTTGAATGAAAATAATTTGTTTCGATACAATTTTATTCTTACAATCGTAAAATTGATAATAAAGTACAGCATCTCTATAGGGAACATAGTGAACTTTGACCTATTGACCCGAAAGTTTCGCCAGCACCTCACTGGTAACGATAAAGGCTCGAGTTTAAAATTTGAGCATTCTAGACCCAGTAGTTTTTTCTCGAGCGTCTGAAGTGCTGGATGAAAAACTTGTTTTTTTCATCCAGCACTTCATAGTTTTGTTTTCTCGGCTTTTTTACATTTTTTGATTGCTTATATTTCGACAATCCCTTTATTGAGAAAGCTGAAATTTTGCAAACTACCTAAGAAAACAATTATCTCGAACGAGATATTCAAACTTACTATAGGCATCTGGGGGCGGAGAAATTGACCCCCAAAAATTGGCAACTGTGATTCCTTTATATAGGCCTATAGTTAGTCGGTGACTTTTTCACTTGGCACGGAGTACACCGCCGTGACTTTCGATTTTTTGGTGAAGAGAGTTTCTTTTAAGAATTTTTGACAACGTTATTGTGCTTTACCAAAACGGGACTCTCGAACTTTTTAAACTTCTAGAACCGCAGCCTAGTACTATGCATCGCCTGGACCGTGTATGAAACAATCTGTATATTAGAAGCCATCCATTAGGTTAGTTATGAGTAAGCTACAATTCAATGGGGAGAGAGTCTCGTGAAAAGTACATTATACTATTTATATACAATGGGGAAGGAGGATCCACTTTTATAAATATGAGTCTGTAATGTTTAAATAAAAATGACATTGAGACTACATTAAGTACAGTACGAGAAGTAGCTGCTGTTTCCATTGTTTTGGAAGATCCAATACGGCTGCAAGAAGTAAAAAACTGCTTCACACCAAACAATAGCAACAGAAACTTACGCTGTCTCCTCCTAACTTCCTTATATTTTACTGTCTGCTTCTATTTCACAATCAACTAGCGAATTGATTAATTAAAATAGTAAAACCACGTTTGTTATCCTTCAAATTGACTGGGATGTTTGAGGATTTTCTACTTCAAACATGGCTTGAAGTAGAAAATACGGGCTCCAAACCAGTTGCAGAAACTGATCCGCGTGATTTTACATGATTTTAAAACGACTCCCAATGCAGAGAACTTGCGATTGCGATGCGAAACTGCATCTGCCTGTTGTTGTGTCGCAAAAGGTAATTGTGTGATTGTAAAACAGACTAGCATTGATTGTTGCACTTGCTCAAATACGCCAGGCATATTGTAAATTGCTTCAAAGGTTTTGATTATCCAATCTCTTAGAACTTGTGCATTGTCAATAGGAGTAGCATAAATCATAGATTGGTAAATATCCTCATAATGAAAAAATCCAGCAACGAGTTGTGAAACTTTCCTAGCAATAAAGTTAAAATTGTGTTTGGAACCATCTGTTATATGATTTTATTTAAAAAAAAAAACTTATATTATTAAAATGACAAAATGTTTAATTTTGAGGGTAGAGATGAGTAGGTCATGCCCAACAGTTTTGGTATTCTCTCCTTTTATTACTAGAAGCCTTGTGCATTGAATAACCTGCATACCTATAAGCGACAGTTCTGGATGTATCATGACTACATGTCCAATTAAAATAATTGAAAAATATGACCCTTTAACTGATGCTGTCTTTCAAGCCCTTAAATTTTTGCACGCGATATAGGCACTAGGTAGTCGCCTAGAGCGCCTGTATCTCGGACCGTCCCTAGAGATGAGTTTTATATATAAAAGAATTATGAATTCTAATAAGGATAAAATCTTTATTAATTTCTCAGCGTTGTAAGGTCGCGAGTCCAATAATGCAAAAATCTTGGAGGACCGATAGCCATACTTTATTTCTGTCATATATAACAGCAGGGAAAATAAAAATAATGAAAAAACTAGAGGATTTAAATCGGGAGAATATGAAGGCCAAGCTACTGGTTTTTCTTTTACAATCTATTTACTGATAAACATCTGAATCGTCTATTTTGAATCTCAATAGGAACGAGAAAAAAATTTGAGGTCGACAGGGTTTTGAGATATACGGATTCTTATATAGTACTACATAGTATTTTATTAACGTAGTAGCGAATATAGTAGATACCTGTATTAAGTATAAATAAAACATTTTTAACATACAGTACTCTTAACAGAAATAGTTTGTCAATAGTTTCCGATACCTGTCTCTCCTTAACCGATAATACTCGACGGCCGGATGGTCGAGCAATCAAGGTGGCAGCCTACCGCTCGACCATCGGGGACTCGGAATCGAATTTGGATCGGTCGAAAAAATCCCCAGGAATTTTTCGAGGGGCGGTCTGCCCGGATATGTCGGGCCTCGTCCCTTACCACCTGGTCGGGCCTAAATGGTCGCCTCATTGTGGGCCTGGCCGAACCCATAAATGGGCTTGCTAAAAGAAGCTCTCTTATTGCCCACAGGGCGGAAAGAGTAAAAAAAAAAAAAAAAACAACAATACTCAAGCCAAACTTGTAGCTGAACAGAGAAGAGCTGCGTTAATTGCAACTATGTACTATATTGAAAGAGATATTTCTCAACTGCAATTTGTGCTTTTTTTAAAAAACTTTTTTCGCTCTGTGGGCCTCTTTTTGAAAGCCCATTATGGGAACGGCAAGGCCCACAATGGGGCGGCTGGTGGTGAAAGACGGGACCCGACAAATCCGGACGGACCACCCTCGTAAAAATTCTGGGGATTGATCGACCCGTCCGGATTCGATTCCGGGTCCCCCCAGAACGGTAGGCTGCCCTCTTGACCGCTCGGCCATCCGACCGTCTGCAATTTATGCTAGCAAAATATATTCTAAGACCTTGAGCAAAATGAGCTTTCAATTATACTGTACTTCAGTCCGAAATTCGAGATATAGAGGCTTTGGGAAAAAATTATTTAAATTGTATTTTTTTAATATAAATTTTAGACATCGTTTTATTATTAGATTTTAACGATGCTAAATGTTATTTTTACCATAATAATAATAATAATAATAATATACATCGAATTTTATTTTAAAAAGGTTACTCCTTTCCTCCAGAGGGCATTTGTAACACGGGCAGACGACATGTTTGTTTTAATTTGTAAAATGTTGGAATTCGTGATTTGTTACGTTTATAAAATTTATGCTTTATGTTGAATTTACAAATGAAGAATATAATAAGCAAAGAAATTTTTCATTTTTAATTTAAACTAATGGATTTGAAGAAGAAATTAAAATCTATTGTTTCCAGACAGGTAAATTTGACGCATTTTTTTCATTCTGAGATAATTGGACTAAATAATTGATTAATTATTGCTTCTAGAAAATTTATTAGTAATGATTTAAACATATTCGATTTATGGATTAAATTTTTGTATTTTTTGTTTGGTAAAGAATTTAGAGAAAAGAAAAACAATAATAGAATTTGTGCAGAAGTTGATCGAACTTCATATACAGGGTGAGTCATAAGTAGCACACTTTTTCTGAATGTATAGTCACTTTTAATGCTAATTGGTTTTTAAGTTTATTTTTGTTCTTGTTTTAGGTCTGTAAACAGTGAAAAAAAAAAAAAAACTTCTCTTCACTTAAATTGTTTTTACACTGTTTACAGCTCTGAAATAAAAGACTAATAAACATCAAATGCAAATAAACAATAAGCTCATAAACCAAAATAAAAACCAACTAAAAGGTAAGAACTCATATCAGAAAATGTTTACTTCCATTCCTTTTAAATGGGAATCATTGGGCTTTTAACATTCAAAATTAGAACCAAATGTGTTGGAATGCCTCTATTTAAATTATGCTGGCTTGTTGATTTGTGGATTATCTGCTATGATAATCTCTGTGGATGAAGGAGTGTGTAAAATTATACGAGATTAAAAAATGTCTTCCGTGCTGAGGAGGGCAATCTGCCTCCTTGAAATTCATGGCCACATTTCTTCTGGTAGTTTTATATATATCTAAAAGCTCTAAGTATTTGAGTTATTCTTAATATCAGGTGTGGTAGCTGATGAATACATACTTTGAGTATATGTCTCTTTAATCCGAATCAGTAAAACATGGTATACTTTCTCTCAGCTGTAAGGTTAGGTACTCCTTTATTGCTAATCACAATTGCATTTCGGGTCTCTATGAGCGTTGCTCTATCTTCTAAGATATGTAAAAAATTTATTTGTTGTCTGTAAAAATCATCTTCGTGTGAAAAATTTGTAAATTAATTTTTTGTTTTTTATGCTTTATGTATGTAGCATTTACACTGGAGGGGCTCATAGAGGCCCGAAATGCATTTGTGGTTTGCAATAAAGGAGTACCTAACCTTATAGCTGAGAGAAAGTCTACCATGTTTTACTGATTCGGATTAAAGAGTAAAAAAAAAGTATTTGAGTTATGCTCTATTGTGCGTATGATGCAGAATTCCCATTTGATCAAAATGCATCTTGATGTCAGAGTCACTGGCATATGTAGCTAAGGCTATGGTGTTGAGGCCATTGTTGATAGATGTTTTATGTTCCTTTAGGTGAGTGTTGATATGATGGTTTATGATCCCCATGTACTGTAAGCTTGTTGTTTATTTAAAGTTAACCAGTATTTACTAGTTGTTACCTGAACATCAGATTTACTGTACATTCAGAAAAAGTGTTACTTATACCTTATCCTGTATAGTGATGAAGTATTTTAAATATTATAGCTCAAAGAATATACCTGACATTTTGTGTAAAAACATCAAATGATTCATTTTGTTACAGTATCTTGCTTGTGTTGGGTTGAACACTTTTACTGGTGCTTTCCTGTGTCTGATACATGTTTATGCCATGAATTGGAAGCATACAGCAGCATGCTGTGGTATAAAATTTATAGCAATGTCTGGTAACATTCAGATTACATATAGGCTAACTTATCAAATTTTGCAAAATACAATAATCTGGCATCATTTTGATCTCAGATTAACAAACTTTACTGTGTATCATATGTAGATGCATGTCATATCCTAAACAATGTAATTATTGACAGAATGCTGATGTTATGTGATAGTAAATATTTTGTAAGTTAGGGAGAAGTTTTTTATTGTTTGTATCATGTCTTAAAAACAATAAATTAATACTTTAAGCAAAATTATTTGTTTATTTTTGTATTTGCAAAATAAAAGTTTGAAAATTGAATTGAGACTATAACAAACTTAGTTTAAATGCTCTCCTTAACTTTGTTGATTATACTACAAAAATATTCAAATAAAAAGTTACTATTGTTGTTGGTTTAAGAATATAAATTTAAATTTGCACAGTAATGCCATGTAGAAATTGTTCAATGTGATTATTGCTTTTTTAAAAACAATGTGTATATATTCAGACAAGTTGTCTATAGGCAGTTGATTAAATAATTTCATTTAATTTTTTATAATGTTATATAATCAGTTAAACAAGTGATTAAATGATTTTTAATTATTGCATTGTTTTATAACTCAATACACTGTTCATGTAGTTCTAAACATATACATGATAAATGATTTGTTTTATTGGCATTTTATTCTGTTTTAATAATTTAGACTTTAATAACAGCATAAAAAAATAACAAAGGAAATTGTTTTTGTTATATATATAAATTATTTTTTGTCTTTTTTATTTTCAGAATTTATTTCTGTAAAAAATATATATATATAGAAAAAATATAAAAGTGCATTTTTTCATCAAATGTTTTTTATAGCAGGAAAACAAATAAGAATTTATTTGAACAAAGAACTTTTATTTTTCCATATAACCTCTTAAAATATTTATCCCATCCTATTAAACTTTAGCCAGTCAAAATATCAGCCAAACAATTTTGTGTAAAATTGTTTTGTCTCCTATTATAACCACATTTAAGCATTTCCTCATGTTCAACCTTTACAATAAAAAAAAATTTTCATTAAATATTCCTTTTAGGGAATTAAATAAAACATCTAGCATGATTATGGTTAGTGAGTTTCTTTTTTAGATTGATTGATTGATTGATTTAAAACTTTCTCTGAATTACTTGAATTGCCTTCTTGCTAGTGTGTAATATTTGAAGTTTGTCATAGAAGAACAATACAGCTGGCTTGCCTTAAATAAATATGGATAAAGTGAATTCTCAAGTTAAAGTAAATTTTATGATTATTCTGGCAAAATGCCATTGTCACAATGTTAATTAATATTCATGCCAATAAAGCTAACAAAAATTTTTACGAGAATTCATTAATTGAACTGTAAATTACCTTCACAACCCTATTTCCAATAATGATTGTTTTTTACACTTTTTGATGTGAACAATAAAAAGTGGTAATGTAAAATAAATGTTCTGTTTTGAGTAGAATAGATTTTCTTCTCCTAGTAAGCAAAGATGGGTTCAACCTCCAAATGTAGAACAATTCAAACATCTGGTTTTAGCAGATCAATCTACTGTACTCAAAAATTATGGGTTAAAGTTTAAGGATGCCCATCCCTTTAAATATATATGCAAACATATGCATACAGTGATGAGGTTTGGCTTTTTTTTTTTTACGCTTTTGGCGCCAAAAATCTTTTCTATGTTTTCAAGCAATTTTCAACAGAAAAAAAAATCACAGATTTAGCTTTATTTCATTTAACCACACTGATATAGTGCTCCATGCTTAAATGGCAAATATTGTCTCTTCCTTGTTTTGTTTGATTTGAAAATTATCTAGAACATTAATTTATTATTGAAAATATTTTACTTACTTATATTATACTTAACTTCCTAAATTATAGAACCTTGACCTTAACCCTGAAAATTGTCAAAATGAATATTTCAATAAAGTGAACTAACTACTATTCCCTTAGCAATTTGTATTAACTCATATTGACTGTATTAATCTTACTGATAGATTGTGTTGTTTCTGAAAATTTATTCTATGATTTCAAATCTAAAATCGTTAGGATTAAGATTGTAGGATATCAAAATTATGTTAAATGAAAACATTCCATAAATACCTAAAAAATTGTATTAAACACTTTAAGTTATAATGTTTTTGGCTGTATCTAATTGTCCATTCTCAGGATGAACTTACAAAACAAATGATGGTTGCATTTGAATAAAATGTAAAATTAAAACATTCCAGAATATACAATTGAAATGTAAGTACAGGACCTTATAATTTATGAACATAAAAATTAAACACAAAAATTCACATCTAAATGCTAATTTCAGCAGTAATTGAACAAAATTTTAATGTTTGAATGTTTCAGTCTTTTAAAAGCTCCCTCAGGAATGTATGAAACACAAAAACAGTTCTATCATTTGAAAACTTCTAACTGTCGAATACAGCTGTGTTCCAAATTTTTAAATTCAACTGTTAGAAGTTTTCAAATGATAGAACTGTTTTTGTGTTTCATACATTCCTGAGGGGGCCTCTAAAAGACAGCCAAAACCTTCCAACATTAAAATTTTGTTCAATTACTGCTGGAATTAGCATTTAGGTGTGAATTTTTGTGTTTAGTATATAGTTTCAGTTTACATGTGCTAGTTTTTTGTCTAACATAAAAATTAAAGTGTTTAAGGCAATCTTTAAGGTATTTGTGGAGTGTTTTACTATTAAGCATTGTATTTTTCACTAGTTATGTTAAACATTACAGTTCAGAAAAATTAAATGGTTTAATAATCAAATTTTATTGTATTTCATTATGTAATGTGTAAAGATTGTTAACTTTATCAATATAATTTTTGGTATGATTAATAGTGCCAATGGTATTTATTTTGTTAGTAACTTTTCCACCTGTTATAGAATATAACATAGGGAAAGTATGGTAATTGACCAAATTTTGACCCTCCCTGATTTTTTGCATTTTCTGATGTTTTTGATATTCCAAGAGCCCAAAAATGTAAAAATCTCGTATAAAACTGTGTGTGCGCATGCGTGCATGCATGCTCACTGGTGTCTATTTTGCATTATATCTATGGTGACAATAGATCCTTTATTTAAGAGGATAGTCTTTTATTTCACTAATTTGTCATTTAGATTTTTTTATTCTCTATAATGGTAATTTTGTCCTTTATTTTGTGAATTGAAATAATAAATTAGATATTGACACCAATATTTAATTTATTATTTCCATCAAACGTACAGCACCAATATTCAATTTACTTAATTCATTTCATGCAATGCATAATATTTTTTCTATTGATTATTTAAATAGCTGGGACAGCTTTATCATGGAAATGAAAGTATTTAAATGGGTCTTACTATGAGAAACCCATCTTTAGTCAGAGAAGATTGAGGAAA